TTGCATCTTTTAACTTATATAACATTATACACCTTTATCATTTATTTATGCATTTATTAAATATTTATGAGTACACTGCAATGTATCTGCTAATATGACAAGATCCACCCCCACATCCCCTTCAGTCTTTGAGAAACTTTCAGTTCAATAGGAGGTGATGGCAGTGGGGGCTAGATTACAGAGAGACACACATAAAAGCTGCCATTACAATGGGATATATGGGATTGACATATAGAAGCCACCCAGAAGAAAGGTCATCCGATGAGCTTCTGAAAGGTCACAACCTTGAAAACCCTACGGAGACCAGTTCTACTCTACGCACAAAGGGTCATCGTAAGTCAGAATCAACTGCATGGTAACAAACAACATGCACTAAACAGATAAGGTTGAATAAATGAGTTTATTATGAAGGAGAGTGAGCGTCTGTTATGTTATGGCTTCTCAGCTCCCTTTGAGCCCATTTACCAAGGGTGGAGAATTCTCTGCCTTATGAGTCCAACCTCACCCAGGTAGAACTCAGCCTCCTCTGCAGCGTGGGCACAAGCATGTGACATAGACCTCACTAGTCAGACTCACATAACTGTGAAATTAGCAACATGGAGAGATAGTCTATTCCCAGAATTCATTGTACTGATCAGGCTCATAGCAGGTGTGGCTGGTGTTTAGGGGCAGCCTCATTTGCTGGGAAGAAGTGATGGTAGAAGGGAGATGCTGCCAGGGCAGCAGCGTTCTGGTCCAACCACTTTCTGACACCTCAGCCTCTAAACTGGTTTTTCAGTCTTCTGAATAATTGTAACACATTGTGTTCTTTCCAACAAACCCCTCTTTACTGAATCAATTAAAGTCAGCTTCTATAGCTTGTAAAAAAGAACTGATTGATACATGCGCTTAGATAATTGTGAATTGTTGTTGTTAGGTGCCATTAAATTGATTCCAACACATAGTAACACTATGCACAATAGAACAAACTATTGCCCGGTCCAGTGCCATCCTCACAATTGTTGTTACATCTGAGTGTATAGGAGGAATAAACTTAGTTTGCTTCTTGCCCCATATTGTGTATTAGCTTACATCTCCTCACAGCTAGTTTGCCAGCATCAGGGAAGTGTGAGGCACAGAGAGAAGGATTCTTGATCCACGTAGCCAACGATGGTAGGAAGAATTTATAAATTTTATTTTTTTTAAATTGAATTTAATCATGACATTATGATAAAACCACAGAAACAAACAAACAAATGTATCAAACAGACATACCAACCAAGTCAGTTAAGATTGTGAAACAAAGGATCAGCATACGTTTGTGGCTTCAATTGCAAAAACAATCTGGGGAAAAAAACTACTGGTTACATACTGATTGTTTAAGCCACTTAAATCCACCACCTATGTGCCATTTTATTGCACTAGGTGGTGGTGGTAAGGGTGCAGGCTGCTATGGTGCTAGAAACTCTGCCTCCAGTATTTCAAGTACCAGCAAGAGCACCCATGACAGACAGGTTTCAGCAGAGCTTCTAGACTAAGACAGATGAGGATGAAGACCTGGCAATCTACTTTGGAAATCCAGCCAATGAAACCACTTTGGATCATAATAGAATACTATACAGTATAGTGCTGGGATACATGCCCCTAGGATGGAAGGCACTCAAAATCCACAGCGGCCCTAGCAATAGACTCATTCATAACCATGATTATAAAGCTAGCACAAAACTGGGCAGTATTTTGTTTTGCTGTGCCATGAATTGGTGCTGTCTCAATGACAACAACAACAAAACCACTTATGTGCACATTGTAATCACTTTGAAACTTGCTTCTTTAAACATACAGGGCAAAATGAATAAATAAATAAATAAGAGAGAGAATTTAACAAAGGAAAGAAAAAGTTGCATAGTGTCTTAGTTACCTCGTGGATGACTTTTAACAACAGATTTATTTTCTCATAGTTTATTGCCGTTGTAAAGCACTGTTGAGTCGTTATTGACTCATAGTGAACCTAGACTGGGTTTCTGAGACATCAATTTTTATGGGAGCAGAAAGTCTCATCCTTCTCCCAAGGGTCAGCTGTTGGGTTCCAACTGCCAACCTTGTGGTTCAAAGTCCAGTGCTTATCATACAGACTATGTCTTTCACAGTAATCTAGACATTCAAATTCAGGACACCAATTCTAGGGAAAAGTTCTTGTTTCCTTTCACCATCTGTGGGCCTGGAGTTCCTTAGAGATCTCCACGTGTCTTGACATCTCAATCTTCTCTTAGTCGAGGAGGTTCTCAGTGCAGAAATCCGAGGTTCAAAGGATGTGCACTGCTCCCAGCTCTTCTTATTAGCAGCAGTGAGGTCCTGCACCACTCTGCTCCTTTCTATCTCTTTTTATAAGGGAGCAAAATATATCCCACAATGTAGAGTATATGTAAATACTGACTTAGACCGTTATTTACTCATAAATATTTGTATCCTGGTAGTTTTGGTATAGCATCAAAATTCAAAAACTATAAACTCTGTACTCAGATCTAGAGAAACAATTCATTTTTGCTGTATCTTATTTTAGTTATGCAGTACATACAACTGTCATACAATTTAGGGTGTCCAGTGATATTTCTGAAAAGTATTCTAGGTGTTTAATACATATTTCGAAACATTGAGCAATTTGATATGAATTTTATGTGTCTAAATTTATTTAGATCCCATAAATCCCATATCAGTATCTGTTACAACCTTATTATTCTCCAGTTGGAAGACAGCATGAAAATTCTTTCTTTGATACATTCATTAAATGAACAAATGACTGCAATTTTCTTCAATTTACAAGAAAATATGGCTATGTACCATAAGCACTGGACTGTGAACCACAAGGCAGGCGTTTTGAGCCACCAGTTGCCCCACAGGAGAAAGATGAAGCTTTCTGCTCCTGCAAAGATGTACAACCTCAGAAACCCTATATAGG